TAGTCTCGACCGCTGGCCACCTCTCCCTTCTCGCCGTGACGCGTCCTACACAAGCCGCACTTTACTTAAGGGGCGCCGCGGTGGCTAGGAGATGTCAACTCCCTCGCCTGGTGTGCACGAGGTCGTGGGTTCAATCCCGACCCTGACAACGCCTGCTGCTGTATATTTGGAGTTTGCGTCTCTCTCTCTCATCATCAGGGTGGCTAGGAGATGTTAACTCCCTCGCCTGGTGTGCAGGAGGTCGTGGGTTCGATCCCGACCCTGAAGACGCCTGCTGTTGTATATTTGGAGTCTGCGTGTCTCTCTCTCTCTATCTCATCATCATCATCAGGGTGGCTAGGAGATGTTAACTCCCTCGCCTGGTGTGCAGGAGGTCGTGGGTTCGATCCCGACCCTGACGACACCTGCTGCTGTATATTTGGAGTCTGCGTGTCTCTCTCTCTCCACGTGGTCGCGTGGATTTTTGCTCCAGGTCCTCCGTTTTTTTCCCCTCCACATTTAGAATCAGCGTCACGCGGTTCGAGCATTTGGCTACCACTATAAGTGTCCACGTGATCAGCCACTTCGTTGAGCTATCATTTGTGGTGAGGTGGCTTCTGAAAAAAAGATCTATATAAATCAGTGGGCCTTACCTGATGGAATAAAAAAATAAAAACAGTTTAACCATCAATATCCTGCACATAATCATTCCACGTGTTCCCCCTCTCTGTCTCTCTGTTTCCGACGGTGCAACAATTAATCGATTCCTTGATTACGCTGCATTCTTACGCTCAAGATGCATGCATCAAGCCGCATGGATAAGAATCGATTATTCGTATGTAGCTTTCCCTCACTTTACGCGGGTTCGGTTTGTGCGTTTTTGCGCCGTATATGCGGCTAGCCTACGTCTACGCAACATTCTCTGCGTTGCGAGGTTTGAATTCACTCTACATGTGGCGATGCGGTCGGACGTGGGACACCATTGTGTACTGTGTGTGTACTGCATGTGTATACTATGTGTACTGTGTATGTACACTGTGTACACTGTGTACTGTGTGTGTACTGCGTGTGTACACTGTGTACTGTGTGTACTGCGTGTGTACACTGTGTGTACTGCGTGTGTACACTGTGTGTACTGTGTGTGTACATTGTGTACTGTGTGTACACTATGTGTAATGTGTGTGTACACTATGTGTACTGTGTGTGTCCACTGTGTACTGTGTGTCTACTGCGTGTGTACACTATGTGTACTGTGTGTGTACATTGTGTAATGTGTGTACACTATGTGTACTGTGTGTGTACATTGTGTACACTATGTGTACTGTGTGTGTACACTGTGTACTGTGTGTGTACACTGTGTACACTGTGTACTGCGTGTGTACACTGTGTACTGTGCGTATACTGTGTGTGTACATTGTGTGTACTGTGTGTGTACATTGTGTACTGTGTGTGTACACTATGTGTACTGTGTGTGTACTGTGTGTGCTGTGTGTACTGTGTGTGCACATTGTGTACTGTGTGTCTACTGCGTGTGTACACTATGTGTACTGTGTGTGTACACTATGTGTACTGTGTGTACTGTGTGTGTACACTATGTGTACTGTGTGTGTACAATATGTGTACTGTGTGTGTGTGTGTCTACTGCGTGTGTACACTATGTGTACTGTGTGTGTACACTATGTGTACTGTGTGTGTACTGCATGCACTACTTGACAGGCAGCTGTCACACGCAGAGATATACAAAGAGATACACACAGATATACACATGCATCGAGAAGCGTACGAAGATAACACACACTTAGAGATACACACAAAGATACAACATTGTGTGCTGTGAGTACTGTTGCGCGCTACTCGGCGAACAGCTCTCTCCTCTCTCGGCTTCGCTTTGTGCGCTGCTGCTGCTGCTACCGCACACAGCGAGTGCGGGACGTGTAACGTCACATGCAAGTTGGTACACGCAGGCTGCCAATGAGGCGATGGCGAACTGTTACAAACGAGATGAAGAATCTACCGCAGTTGTTTGAATCGCATCCTTTGCCCAGGACCTTGACAGTTTTAGCAACTCGCCAACGTGTGACGAAGGTGATTAATTGTCACGTACACCGGATGGGGGCCTCCCCTCTCCCCCTCCCCCCCACGCAGTGTCGGTCAATGGGGGTCGCTTGACCATACTTCACCACGCTGGTCAGTGCGGAGTTGGGGAAGGGGGTAGGGGGTGGGGGGGGGGGGTCATCCAGCACCGGCTCCGAAGTATGAATCGCCGCCGCCGCCGCCGCCGCCGATGATGATGATGATAATAGCCGGTGGGTGAGGAATCGAACACAGGTTGCCGTGAGTTCACGACAGTGCCACGCGCCACCAGCCGCTTGCGGCGCTACTGAAGGATTCATTAGTTCACAGTCACTCGCCACGCGTTCATGAAATATGCGAGGAGCGATTAAAGTGGGGGGGGGGGAGGTGGGTTTTGGGGGGGGGGGGGGCGGGGTGGTTGGTGGCTTGGTGACCAAAACACGAGGATGGCGTAAAACGCGTTGGGGTCACAAAGAGCCCCGTGCCATTTCGAACGAACGCTCATCCATCACTGTCGGGCAAGCGTCACACGCACGCACGCACGCGCCGGCTTCTTGAAAAAAAAATGTAAAAATTCGGGACGTTTTATTCGGGAGCCGTAGAGCTCGCGGGACGGACGGATGGATGGACTTTGCCGTGGGACCTGATGCAAACATTAGCCCCCACCCCGCCCCGCCGCCACCCCCAGTCACAACCCTCCCTCCCCACCCTTAACGTTGCATTTCCAGGTGTTTATCTGGCGTTCACCTGGCGTTCACCTGGCGTTCACGCAACCCGTGACGGATAGACGTCACCTGGTTAGTTACGGACCCTAAGCGTATAGATTTAACTGAATGAACAATAAGCAGGCAACAGGGCCTCCTCCATCCATCACCTAAATCTGTCCCTTCCAGATAACAGGGGGAAAAAATATATCAATGCTTTTCTTTTTTTACCCACATCCCATCAGCCACCACGGCCTTCTGGAGTACAGCGAACTTGATCCGATGCAAGAAAACTCTGGAAGCGGTCTCAGTTTAACACGTAGGAGGCTTTCGCGAATAATATTATCCATAAGAAGGGTTTTTTTTGGGGGGGGTGTTAGATCGCCTAAATATAAACGTGTCCTATAAATGTGTCTTTTAACAACATTTGTATTCACCCGATCTAAATATAAACGTGTCGTTTATTTTTTTTTAATGTGTTGTTATTTATATTTACGCAATCTGACCCAAAGAATACCTCTATGATTGGGTGTCTCGCTTAAAACCGATCCTTTTGAATTGCCAGCTGTTTAGAAACATTGTACAACAACATCTACATCATCACGAGACGCAGTCTATCCACTGCTAGATCGAGGCCTCTCCGCACACCCATCGCAATCCGCCTCACGTCTGCGCGTGAGACCGATCTCAATGCTCCGTCTCCATAGTGGCCGTCACCACCGCCGCCGCCGCCGCCATCATCATCATCAATAATCAGAGATCATCCACTGCTGGATGAGGGCATTCTGACGCCGTGCGAGTCGTAGGGGTTATTTGACCATGCTTCACCACGCTGTTCAGTGCGACGGCACGAAGCATAGACGTGGGAGCATAGAAGTACAGTACAACACACAACCATGGATTTTACTGAAGTGCCCCATTGCTGCTCTGCTCACCACGTAGCAGCCCAGTAATGGGCTGCTTAATGTCAGCCGGGTCTGTGCCGGTAAACGACATGTAATAAATATCTGTACACAGGACACCACGTCCAGGATACATTCAGCCAGCTATCATTGTGGCTATCTCCCAGTAACGTGCCACCAACTCAAGTAAAATCAGCGACCCTGAAAATATTCCTTAAATAAATTATTCCATTGCCTATAAATAACAACCCAGTTTAATATTTGTTTTATTATTAAATGTTTCTCCCGAACGTGGTTGTCACCCATCCCCAAAGCGCTATCCAGGTCCCAAACCCTGCTTAGCCTTGCAATATCTCAGAATCAGAATATTTGACCCTTATGGTGTGACCCCGGGGTCCCGAATGAACGGAAGTCAAAATCGTAATTAATGACTTTATTTTTGGCGACTCCGTCCCACCGCGCACATCAACGCCGCAACCCACCTGGCGCGGATTATTCTATTGTCATGTCATGATGTCCAAGCGCAGCAGCGAGGACGAATGCGCAGAATAAACAAAACTTTGACACTTTGATTAGCGCATCGTGTAGAGCTCGTCGAGAGGAATTGATTGCCGTAGCGTTCGCCTTCAACAGACATAAAATGACATCGCAACGCAGTTTATGCAAAAGCCGGGCGGCTTATGGGACCCCGGGGTCCCGCGATAAGGTTCATTTATTGATACTGGAGGAATTCTATGACCTATAAAGCCTTTTTTCACACATGTCCAGTAGAGCTGACGGGAGCTCGGGGCGCACCCCCATCCGTTGATTTGGTCACCGGTGGCGTATGGAACACGAGAACGGATGACTGAATTCGAGAGGCGGCTGGGGAAAAACCCCTGTCCTTACCTCGGGCCGAATAAAGACTTTCAATTACAGTTCTGAGCCTTTTCCAGCGGGCGGGTGTGGGGGGCAACCACACGCGCCCCCCACCGCCACCACCCTCCCTGCCCATCCCAGTCACTTCTGTCACCGCGACGATGCCTCCCGCGCAGTGACAGTCAAAGCCACCGTGTCAACGTTGCGAACACGTGGTTTTTGCCAGCTCGAAAACATCACCGGCCTCCCCGCCGCACCCACCCACCGCTCCCGTCAACCCGATGAGTGCGGGCTACGGTGCTTTGTTCACACAGAGACACGGACACACAAATGTCGCTTATGCGGGCGGTTCGGCGAAGCCGGTACTGGACTACGAAATGAAGTCGCGGGTCGAGAGGGTATCCCCCACGCTGAACAAACGCAGAATATACGAATGAACCGACTTGACGCACGGACACACGGACGGACGGACGGAGCGACTCACCTCCCCGGCGTAGCTGTACTGCCCTCGCAGGATGAGCCGGTACAGCCTCGTCCTGTTCTCGTCCTCGAAGGGCATGGCCCCGCTCAGCAGGATGTACGAGATGACGCCGAGCGCCCACATGTCCACGGCGTTCGTGTACGGCTTCCTGAGCAGCACCTCGGGGGCGATGTACTCGGGCGTGCCGCACGTGGTGCGCATGGTGCAGTCGTCCCCTTTGCGTCGCGAGCTCGCCAGCCCGAAGTCCGTGATGAGGATCTTGGAGTCCACCCCCGGGTGGTAGTACAGCAGGTTCTCGGGCTTGAGGTCGCGATGCGTGATGCCCAGGCTGTGGAGGTAGCGCACGCCGTCCAGGATCATCTGCAGGGCGCGCGTGGCGTCCGCCTCGGTGAACGACCCCTTGTTGATGATCCTATCGAAGAGCTCGCCGCCCGTGGCCAGCTCCATCACCATGTAGACCCGCTCGGGCGTCTCGAACACCTCGATGAGCTGCACGATGTTCCCGTGGCGCACTCGCCGTAGCACGCCCAGCTCCGACTCGCAGACCTCGCGGCCCTCCCTCGCCTTCGTCTCGATCATCTTGATGGCGTACGGCTGCCTCGTCGCCCTGTGCTCCACGCGCACCACGCGGCTGAAGCTGCCGCGCCCGATGAGCGCCTTCACGTCGTACTTGGCGGTGACGCGCCCGTCGAACTTGGCGCGGTACTTGGCCACCTTGTTCCTCCGCTGCCCGCCCGCCGAGGCGGCCGAGACGCGGTCCGTCTGACCCTTGGGCCCGCCGCCGCCGCCGCCGTTCTTGACCGCGTGGAGGTCGGCGCCGCCGTGCTTGGCCACGCCGGTGTACTCCACCGTCTTAACCGCGTGGTCGGCGCCCTCTCCCCGCGGGTGCTCGGGAAGGACTTTGCTGTTGCCGCAGCCCATTGCTCCCACTCCGGCTTCTCCTTCGTACCCTCGTCCTCGGCTGTGCCCCTCGCCTCGCAACTCATCCCTGGCACATCGCCCCCGGCCGCGGGGGGTTTCTGCTCGCGGGAGGAGACGTCCGCCACCTGGCCCGTTCCGTCGTGGCAACTGAATGCACGTTGAGCTTCGTTCACGCCGTGCGTGGCCAGCCGCGCCAATCGGAGGTCGCAGGGGAAGGACGACAAACTGAGCGCGAAAATCGACTTCAAGGAAATGAGTTTTTCAATCTCGATTTGAAAAGTGCACAGCTCCGGCGGCTTCCTTATATCGGAAGAGCGTTCCAGACGGCCGCGGAAGCGCATCCGCAAGCGCCGCGCGATGCGGCGACCGTCTTCGTCCGACGACGGGGAGCCGAAAAACGCTGCGAGGATGACCGGAGTTGGTGTGGCGGTCTATGCTCTTTGACGAGATCGGCGAGGCATTGTGGATCATTTGTAGGCGAGCGCAGCTGGAGGTGGACCGGTAGCCTGCCGCCTTCGATGGACTTTCTCGGGAGGAAACGGAACAGATAGGAACGTACGATTCCTGGCGTGAGGAGGGGACGGGATGTTCACTCCATTTGTTAGCAGGAAGGAGGCTCTTGGGAGCTTTGTAATTAGCGCAAGAGGACGGAACGCCAAATCGTGGCGTCTGCCCACCAGGTCTTCGGGAAGACGATGGACGAAGCAATGGAGATTATCCTTACAAAAGTATTTTCATTAATCCGCAGCAACTCAATCCAACAGTCGTCCCTCTTGATCAGTCACCGTTTGATGCTAAATTATGTAGATCTGCTCCCGTACCCGGGTGGACATCTGTAGCTGGCGTCTCGGCCGCCGAGGAACAGCTCCCCGACTAGCTCAGTCCATCTCTGCTGTTGTCCTGGCTGCTCTTCATCTCAGCTTGTACGAAGGCGCAGCGAACGCTTCAAGGTGTTGGCGAGCTCACCTTGTGACGCTGAAACAACAAGAGGAATTCGTATTAAACAAATGCAAAGCGTTCTGCCATGAATTTTGATTTAAAGCTTTCGTGACTGCAGGGATTCACATTCTTGGTTCTTTCGGTAAAGTCACGTAGAAGGGAAACAATAAAATAATAAAAATATAAAACAATACAATTAAATTTCGATTTAAAGCTTTCGTGACTGCAATGATTCATCTTCTTTGGTTCTTTCGGTAAAGTCACGTAGAATGAGAATAAAATAATAAATTGCTAAATTAAAATAACACAATAATATTCTCACGACGTTTCGGCCACAACACAAGCGGCCTTCATCAGGTGAAGGGAGCGAGACTGTCTGGTAGGACAGCGCTGGAGTGAGAGAGCCACGTTCAGATCACGGCTTTTAAGCTGTGTGAGAGGAACAAAGACTCTAAGGCTTAAAAGCCGTGATCTGAACGTGGCTCTCTCACTCCAGCGCTGTCCTACCAGACAGTCTCGCTCCCTTCACCTGATGAAGGCCGCTTGTGTTGTGGCCGAAACGTCGTGAGAATATTATTGTGTTATTTAATTTTATCAATTTATAATTTTATTCTCATTCTACGTGACTTTACCGAAAGAACCAAAGAAGAACAATACAATTCTCATATTCTTAGTTCTTTCGGTAAAGTGACGTTGAAGGGAAACAATAAAATATATATAAAACAATAATATATTTTATTATTTAATTGTTTCCCTTCAACGTGACTTTAGCGAAAGAACTAAGAATTTGAATTACTGCAGTCACGAAAGCTTTAAATCAAAAATACAATTCTCACGACGTTTCGACTGCAACACAAGCAATCATCAACTGATGATCATCACCTGATGTTGTACAATACAGGGTAGTCCTCTACTTACGATGGAGATGCGTTACGACTACCAGATCGTAAGTCAATAAATATCGTAAGTCGGACCGTCGTAAGTCGGGGACTACCTGCATCTGTCTTTGGAGCGGTGGCGTAGCGGTCAGCGCTACGCTGCGCTACGAACCCGGCGACACGAGTTCGATTCCCGCTCACGGCCAACGCCACTGGCAATTATCTGAACCGGTCCTGGGGGCTTCCCCTTGGTCGACTCAGCCTCAAATGAGAACCTGGTGCGGTGTTGTAAACATCGCCACTGGGGAGACAAAGGCGGTCGGGCGTGGTGTTGGCCACCCACCCCCTCGTGTACCGTGCCGGCCTTTATAGGTGCTGCTCGCTAACAGCACTTGCCTCAACAGTCTGTTAAGGCTATACAGCGATATTTGTATGTATATGTGTGTGTGTATATATATGCCGAAACAGCTTTTGTTCGGCCGGATCGAGGGGGCTAAACGGGCGCGGCACGGGCTAGAGAAGAGATGGAGTGATGTGGTACAGGAGGACGTGGAGCTGGGTGAACTTGCCGATGACCGGTACCAGCGGTGTCAAGATCGGCCTCTGTGGAGGAGGCTTGTGAAGGACGCTACTGGGCAGTTGGAGGTAGTCGCCCTCCAACAACAACGGAGGGCGGAGGAGCGACGCTCACAACAACGAGCGGAGCGCCGGGTGGCTAAAGCACAGCAATTTGGCACAGTAGGGGGCACAGGTGGTGCATCAGCCAGTCATCTCAGTCATCTCAGTCAGTCTGCCCCGTGACCTCCTGCCAGCGGGCGTTCGACACTTCACGTGGCCTCAAGGTGCACATGGCCTGGCACAAGCGTCGTGGTGACGTCACCGCCACTTAGTGGCGAATGGCAGTTGTGTGTATATGTGTGTATGTGCATGTGTGTCAGTGTGAATACCACAAAACTATACGAAAGAAACAGAGAGGCGTGTGTCTCACATTACTGAGAAAGGATGGCTTGTCTGGTGGGTGAGTGGTGGGTGAGTGGTGTGCGGTGAGTGGTGGGTGAGTGTGTTTAGAGAACGTGAGAGTGTGGGTGAGAGTGTGAATGTGTGGGTGAGAGTGGGAGTGTGTGGGTGAGAGTGTGAGTGTGAGGGTGAGTGTGTGGGTGAGAGTGTGAGAGTGTGGGTGAGTGTGTTTAGAGAGTGTGAGTGTGTGGGTGAGAGTGTGAGTGTGAGGGTGAGTGTGTTTAGAGAACGTGAGAGTGTGGGTGAGAGTGTGAGAGTGTGGGTGAGAGTTTGAGAGCGTGAGTGTGTGTTTAGAGAGTGTGAGAGTGTGGGTGAGTGTGTTTAGAGAGTGTGAGTGTGTGGGTGAGAGCGTGAGTGTGTGGGTGAGAGTGTGAGGGCGTGAGAGTGTGGGTGAGAGTGTGTGGGTGAGAGTGTGTGGGTGAGAGTGTAAGTGTGTGGGTGAGTGTGTTTAGAGAACGTGAGAGTGTGGGTGAGAGTGTGAGTGTGAAGATGTGAGAGTGTGGCTGAGAGTGTGAGTGTGTGGATGAGAGTGTGAGTGTGTGGGTGAGTGTGTTTAGAGAACGTGAGAGTGTGGGTGAGAGTGTGAGTGTGTGGGTGAGAGTGTGAGTGTGTGGGTGAAAGTGTGAGAGTGTGGGTGAGAGTTTGGGTGTGTGGGTGAGAGTGTGAGAGCGTGAGTGTGTGGAAGAGTGTGAGAGTGTGGGTGAGAGTGTGTGTGGGTGAGTGTGTTTAGAGAGTGTGAGAGTGTGGGTGAGAGTGTGAGTGTGTGGGTGAGAGGGTGAGAGCGTAAGTGTGGGTGAGAGTGTGAGAGTTTTGGTGAGAGTGTGAGAGCGTGAGTGTGTTTAGAGAGTGTGAGAGTGTGGGAGAGGGTGAGAGTGTGAGAGTGGGAGAGGGTGTGAGAGTTTGGGTGTGTGGGTGAGGGTGTGAGAGCGTGAGTGTGTGGGAGAGTGTGAGTGTGTGGGTGAGAGTGTGTGTGTGGGTGAGAGTGTGAATGTGTGGGAGGGGGTGTGTGTGTGGGTGAGAGTTTGGGTGTGTGGGTGAGAGTGTAAGAGTGTGAGAGTGTGTGTGAGAGTGTGAGAGTGTGGGTGAGAGTGTGAATGTGTGGGAGGGGGTGTGTGTGTGGGTGAGAGTTTGGGTGTGTGGGTGAGAGTGTGAGAGTGTGTGTGAGAGTGTGAGAGTGTGTGTGAGAGTGTGGGAGTGTGTGTGAGAGTGTGAGAGTGTGGGAGGGGGTGTGTGTGTGTGAGCCAACAGGACTCTCTCTCTCTCTCCCTGGTTCTCAAGGCGACCGTACACACGGGCAGCAGGAGGAGGATTGTTTGAGCACTGTACCCTGAGTGTGTGACATTGTGTCAATGTGTGTGTGTGTGACATTGTGTCAACGTGTGTATGTGTGAGATTGTGTCAACGTGTGTGTGACATTGTGTCGACGTGTGTGTGTGACATTGTGTCAACGTGTGTATGTGTGAGATTGTGTCAACGTGTGTGTGTGAGATTGTGTCAACGTGTGTGTGTGACATTGTGTCAACGTGTGTGTGTGACATGGTGTCAACGTGTGTGTGTGTGAGATTGTGTCAACGTGTGTGTGACATTGTGTCAACGTGTGTGTGTGGCATTGTGTCAACGTGTGTGTGTGAGATCGTGTCAACGTGTGTGTATGTGTGTGAGATTGTGTCAACGTGTGTGTGACATTGTGTCAACGTGTGTGTGTGTGAGGTTGTGTCAACGTGTGTGTGACATTGTGTCAACGTGTGTGTGTGTGACATTGTGTCAACGTGTGTGTGTGACATTGTGTCAACGTGTGTATGTGTGACATTGTGTCAACGTGTGTGTGTGTGACATTGTGTCAACGTGTGTGTGTGACATTGTGTCAACGTGTGTGTGTGTGAGATTGTGTCAACGTGTGTGTGTGACATTGTGTCAACGTGTGTTTGTGTGTGTGAGGTTGTGTCAACGTGTGTGTGACATTGTGTCAACGTGTGTGTGTGACATGGTGTCAACGTGTGTGTGTGTGAGATTGTGTCAACGTGTGTGTGACATTGTGTCAACGTGTGTGTGTGGCATTGTGTCAACGTGTGTGTGTGAGATCGTGTCAACGTGTGTGTATGTGTGTGAGATTGTGTCAACGTGTGTGTGACATTGTGTCAACGTGTGTGTGTGTGAGGTTGTGTCAACGTGTGTGTGACATTGTGTCAACGTGTGTGTGTGTGACATTGTGTCAACGTGTGTGTGTGACATTGTGTCAACGTGTGTATGTGTGACATTGTGTCAACGTGTGTGTGTGTGTGACATTGTGTCAACGTGTGTGTGTGACATTGTGTCAACGTGTGTGTGTGTGAGATTGTGTCAACGTGTGTGTGTGACATTGTGTCAACGTGTGTTTGTGTGTGTGAGGTTGTGTCAACGTGTGTGTGTGAGGTTGTGTCAACGTGTGTGTGTGTGACATTGTGTCAACGTGTGTGTGTGTGACATTGTGTCAACGTGTGTGTGATATTGTGTCAACGTGTGTGTTACATTGTGTCAACGTGTGTGTGAGGTTGTGTCAACGTGTGTGTGACATTGTGTCAACGTGTGTGTGTGTGAGAGGTTGTGTCAACGTGTGTGTGTGTGTGTCAACGTGTGTGTGAGGTTGTGTCAACGTGTGTGTGTGTGAGATTGTGTCAACGTGTGCGTGACATTGTGTCAACGTGTGTGTGACATGGTGTCAACGTGTGTGTATGTGTGTGTAAATTAACGCGTGTGTATTATGTACACACGTCTGGATGATTGTGACTGAGAGTGTGTGTGTGTAAAATAGTAGCTTTTGTGTGTGTGTGAGTAAATGTCGTTAATTGCCGTGGTGTGAATGCGTGTGCAGAATGAGTGTGTAAATGTTTTCGTGTAAAAATCCACGTGCGTGTGTGAATTAGGTGTAAATGTGAGTGTGTAAATGTTTTTGAGTGTGTAAAGTAACGCGCGCGCGTGTGTATGTGTGCTCGCTAACAGCACTTGCCCCAACAGTTGGCGACACGGGGGATCTTTGTCTTTGTGTGTAAACATGGGGGAGCGGTGGCGCAGCGGTTAGCGCACTGCGCTACGAACCCGGCCGAGTTCGATTCCCGCTCACGGCCACCAACACCAGCAGTGACGATAATCTGGAACCGGTGCTGGGCATCCCCTAGGTCGACTCAGCCTCAAATGAGTAGCTGGTGCGGTGTGTAGTAAACATCGCCACCAGGGGAGACAAAGGCGGCCGGGCGTGGTGCTGGCCACCCACCCCCTCGTGTGCTAACTCGCTAACAGCACTTGCCCCAACGGTTTGTTTGCAGGCTACACGGGGAAATATAACAATAAGTGTTACCCTTGCTGGCAATAAAACAGTTGTGTTCAGATGTGAAAACACCAAACTGAATCCCTTTTTTGTCAAGTAATCCTGCCTGCATTCACCACATATACTTAATCTTTGGTTCTTTCGGTAAAGTCACGTAGGTAGAAAATTAATAGATCACGACGTTTCGATCGCAACACAAGCAATCGTCGCCAGGTGTGACAACCACAGCAAGAAAAAAACTGCTGAAGTAGGCGTGAACATGCAAACACAAAAACACGCTCTGGTAGTCTATGATGGCATTGTCTTTGATTGGTCCACACCAGAGACAGCTTTCTTTAGAGCCTCGTCTCAAGCGGTGTTTTAAACCAGAGGACGCCAGAAGCCAACCAGCACAAGGACAATGCCACTATCAGGACATTGAGAGCTCGAGGCGAGCATCTACATCATGGGACCTCCTCCCTTGCCAGTTTGATCTGTGTCCTACGAAAACACTAAAGTCTCAAGACTCGCTTCACAGGAGGGTCCTGCCGCGTTGTTTTCGCAGTCGGGGACGATGTTGATGCCGGGGTTATGTTGCAGACGATTACTCAAACGTGCATTGGGATATTTGCCCAACACCAATTTCCGTGCACTGTGTGGCTTTTACGAGTGCCGGTGGAACGGCAGCGTTACCAGCGGTGTCACAAGATCGGCCTGTGTGGAAGGGCAGGATGAGGAGAGGCTCGTTTAAGGACCCCCTCGTGGGCCAAGTCGCCCTCCAGCAACGGCGGAGGAGCGACGCTCACAACAACGAGGGAGGGTAAAACGCAGAGAGTCGGCGCAGCTGGGACGCAATTTGCCGGTCGCCTGGGGCAGTCAGCCCCATGGCACCGAACCACCTGGGGGTCCCGTCCCGTGACCTCCTGTCAGCAGCGAGCCTTCGACACTTCACGTGTGGGCCTCAAGGTGCACCTAGCCTGGCACAAAGCGCCGGTGTTGAGCGTCGCCGCTACTGAGTGGCGAACGGCGGCCGCTGATGTGGAAGTGTAAAGACCGACCGACTGTGTGACGACGACGATGATGAGGATGAAGCGTGGTCACCGAATCTACGCCTCTGTATCAGCAACGAAACAGGTGGATTTCTCCACAAATCTGGCTGTCGCCTGATGAAGCTGGTTGTAATTACTGGCGAAACGTCGTACTCGGATTGTAAATGTTGTGGCTTGGCTCTCCAACACACCGGCGGGCTGTACGAGTACACTGCACTATACACTACTATACACTACACTACTATACACTACACTACTATACACTACACACTAGTGCTGTACTAGTACACTACACTATACACTACACTACAATACACTACACTACTATACACTACACACTACACACTAGTGCTGTACTAGTACACTACACTCTACAGTACACTATACACTACACTACTATACACTACACTATACACGACACACTAGTGCTATACTAGTGACGAATTGGCCACGTTCTGTTTACGTGACAACCCTTACTAGTTGACTGTGTCGGGTGGTGTCGGCTTTTAACGACACAACATTTATACATTTACGCGATCGAACCCCCAAAAAAACATCTATTATGGATGATGATAATGATGATGATGTGTGTGTGTGTGTATGAATGTTTAAAGTCCTGTACGGTATTGTTGCAAATGCGAGATTGTTGTCGGCGTGCGCGAAATAGCTGCGTAAATTAACGCGGGTGTAAAGCGTATGGCGAAGTACGGTCATAGTAAACCCGCCACGTTCATCCAGCAGTGGAGTGACGGAAGGACTGTTACAGGACAACGCGCGCACGCGTGTGCGTGTGGCGATGGATGTTAGTGCACCGCGCTACGAAGCCCGTGACCACGAGATCGACTCCCGTTCACGGCAAACCAACACCGGTGACGATGATCTCAACCGGCCTCCCCTTAAGTCTGCTCAGCCTCAAATTAGTACGTGGTGCGGTGTGTTAATAATTCCACTCGGATCACCCTCCACCCCCTCGTGTGCCGTGTCTGACTTCATTAGGTGCTACCTCGCTAAGAGCAATTGCCCCAACAGTCTGTTAAGGCTATACGGGGGCAGGGTCATTGTCTCTGTGTGTAAGGCTCAGTGTCGTCTAGCAGTCCGTCTAACTTGCTCAGCTTCAAATGACACTTTCAAACAACAACAACGGAACACAATTAACCACTTACCAAGATCATACACAAATACTGCCGGCTCCGAAGAAGGACCCGTAACCCGAAACGTTAGCTTCGTACGAATCACTCGATCGTGTCCGATCTGCTCAAAAATCCCACGGAGTGCCCTGGATCCAGCCCATTCGCGCTTCTTAACAATCACTAAGAAGCCCTCTAACAGAGGGAGGGGGGGCTTTGTGGTGTGGGAGGGCATGACACATCGCTAGAGCTGCGTAGGGGTGATTGGGGACACGTAAACTATCAACTATTTTTTTTATTTTACCAAATAAGGCCCCCACTGAACTATTTATACAGTAGCTGTGTTTTTTTTTCAGATGCGACCTGGCTGCCACAAATGATCGGCTCAACGAGGTGGGTTTCTCATCACGTGGCAGCGCGCAGCAAACCGAATACTCTTAACGCGACGGTGATTCTGAACGTGGAGGGAAAACCCGGGAGGGCTCTGGAGAGAAATCCACGTGACCACGGGGAGACACCGCAAACTCCAAATATACAGCAGCAGGCGTCAGGGTCGAGATCGAACCCACGACCTCCTGTACACCTGGCGAGGGAGTTAACATCTCCTAGCCACCCTGATGATGATGAGAGCGACACGCAAACTCCAAATATACAGCAGCAGGCGTCAGGGTCGGGATCGAACCCACGACCTCCTGTACACCAGGCGAGGGAGTGACCATCTCCTAGCCACCGGGATGATGAGAGAGAGAGACACGCAAACTCCAAATATACAGCAGCAGGCGTCAGGGTCAGGATCGAACCCACGGACCTCCTGTATACCAGGCGAGGGAGTTAACATCTCCTAGCCACCCCACATCGGGCTAAAAGAGGCAGGGGAAACCAGCCCTAGATGGAGCTACGATGATGAATTCAGAGAATGCGCACAGAGTGCCAGGTTAATTAAAAGCGTCGAAGCGAGAGAGAGGGAGAGAGAAGGAGAGATGGTGACGGCTTGGAAAAACGAGGCTTTCCATCCAGCAGTGGATTAATCACGGCTGATGATGATGCTCCAGATGGCTAGATGGATGGTCACATTGCAAGACAGCGCGAGAGACTGGCGCACCCCCCCCCCAACCCACCCCGTCAAATCCAGCAGTGGAGAGACAGCATCGCGATGACGACGACGAGGATGATGATGATGATCGTGACATTACCTTGAATTCATGGACAGTCCGTCTGCAGTTACCGTCTTGCCCTGTCACCCCAGCGCGACTTCTACCCCACCTCCAACAACAACAAAAATGCAACATTAAATTCGCCAGTGATCTAACACAAGAAAGATTCTTATTTTTTAAACCCCTCCCCTTCCCTCCTCGTTTGATCCGCCCAAGTCGCTCGCCCCCTTGTCCGTGGCCACCAAGGGAGCCGGGAGTGCGCGCGAGGGGCGAGAGACACTGTGGGTTGAAAGTTCGTTTCGCGAGTGAAGAGCCGGCGGAGGCAGGAGGCGGGGTGGGAGTGGGGTTCGAGTGGGGTTGGTGGCAACCGCCCACAACATCGGATGGGAAGGGCGGGAGGAGGAAGAGGTGGGGGGGGGGTTTGCTCCTCCCATCAACAGCTCCCCATCAACGTTGGTGCCGGTCGCCAGCGATGCCGAAGCCGCAAGTTCAACCAAACCGGTAGGGCCCCGCAGGCTGACAATCGTCGCTAGCTCCGCTTTGCCCATCATCCGCTGCTCGATAGCAAGCGAGGTACTGCGTACGATATGGATCCTTCCGTAAGGTATCCCGCCTCTCCACGTGGTGATTATGGTGATGGGTTTTGTTGGTTGGGCCGGTGGGTTGTGTTACAAATAATAATTTCGCCGGCCCTATCAACACTTTCCCAAGCTCCGCGGTCCTCTGTGTATCATTAAGACGTTTTCGGTTTGTCCTGGCGCCGCGGTGGCTAGGATATGTTAATGCCCTCGCGGGGTATGCAGGAGGTCGTAGGTTGAATCCCGACCTTGACGCCTGCTGCTGAATATTTGGAGCTTGCGTGTCTCTCTCTCATCATCACCACGGTGGCTAGGAGATGTTCACTACCTCGCCTGGTATACAGGAGGTCGTGGGTTCGATCCCGACCTTGACGCTTGCTATATATTTGAAATGTGCATGTTCTCCCCGGGGTCGCGTGGATTTTTCTCTGGGTCCTCCGGGTTTTCCCTCCACATTTAGAATCAACATCGCGCGTTTAGAAAATTTGTCTGTTTTACATTTCCACGTGATGATGATAAGCCCACTTCGTTGAACTATCAGTTGTGACCAGGTCGCTTCTGAAAAAGAGCCACGTAGCTCAGTGGGCCTTAACTGGTAAAAGAAAAGACAAATTTAGAGTTTAGTTTGTACTATAATTGAATACAATCTAGACCACTACTGGTCACGTGGCACTCCTGGCACCTCCGATTAGCACGGTTGTCTACGTACGGTGCGAAAGAAGTCCTACACACAGTACAGACGTGTGAGCACGACAGCGTGGTGAAGGTTCCATCATCATCAGCAGCAGCAGCAGCATCAAAATCCACGTCGCCTCGTCCAAGGGAGACGAAAATGCCGACTCCCAGGAATTTTTGTTTCACGTTCAATGTGTCGTAGAAGTGACTCTGAGCCAAATCTCAGCCCTCCGATGCCCCCTCCTGCCGTGTCAAGGCCTCCCCCACGCCGTTGCCGGTCGTGAGTGGATTATTCTTTTTTTTTAAACCACGCTGATCAGTGCAGGGTTGGCGAAAAGTCGCGGTTGGGTTGAGGAACCGCGGTTCCGATCTGTCCGTCGCTCGCCAGTGATGTCCTCGGGAGCGTGTTGGTGTCCTTGCATGTCTCTCGATACAGGCTGAGAGTCGGCTTTATTTAATTCGCTATGACCGTCTTGTTTTGGGATGTACTGTACGTTATGTTTTCTGGAGGGGGGGAGGGTGGGGGTGGGCCAATTTAAAACAAATTTTGGTTGCTAATTGTTCGAACAAAAATATCACACCAAACAAAATACCGGCGAGTTTAATCGTTTTGCCACAAATAATTAGATGAAGGACTCCCTTCGCGATCTCGCGATGTAACAATCCACACGGCAGCATCATCCACACGCGAGCTGAGCTATTGAGCTAACCTGTTTATTTAAATCGGTGGCCGTTCCAATCATTGGCTGCCACTCCGTCCAGTTTTCTCTAAACATCCATCCATAACACCCCTGTCCAATAAATAACAATGCATTCACATTTCATCGTGGGAGTACGAACGGGAAAATGTCGTGAGCCAAATATTGGACTCTGTGTCATATTTGATCTTACTACGCCTTTTAAGGACACTGACAGACCTTGCATCAAAGACATAGACTCCCACCCCCGCTCCCCCGGTACAGCCTTAACAGACTGTTGGGGCAAGTGCTGTTGGCGAGTAGCACCTGTGAAGGCCGGCACGGCACACGATGGGGTGGGGTGGCCCAGCACCACGCCCGGCCGCCTTTGTCTCCCGAGTGGCGATGTTTCACACACCACAACTAGGGTACTCCTTCGAGTGTTTGCACGTGACCTTGCCAGAGGCGCCCTCTGCCGCTAGTTCGGCAAAAACGAGGCTACATGTTCAGTCCCGCCGATGGAAATGTTTCCAGTTTTTTTTTACGTCGTTGTAACTGTATCTTAAGGGGCCGTCCATAAATGACGTCACGCGATTTTGGACGATTTTTGACACCCCCCCCATCGTCACACGGCGTCACAAAAAGTCAGATCCTCCCCTCAAATATGACGTCATAAAGCTCTGCCCCCCCCCAAAAAAAATATAAAAATGCTTCAAATCGCTTTAAACTATTGTCATTGTAGTGCGTACTTAATGTGCCGCTGCATTCTGATGTTGTAGGAGAAAATATTTATTAAAAAGTCTATTTAATTAAGTAGAAAGTGTTGTCTATATGTATTTATTTAAAGTTGCGCATTTTGATGTGACGTCACATTTATCACCCCCCCCCCCCCCCTTGTCACACATCGTCACAAATGTCTGACCCCTCCCTCCCCTAGGTGCGTGACGTCATTTATGGACAGCCCCTAAGCCTACTAACCCTTTAGTTTGGCTCAAATTTGAGCTCCACTTTTGTAGCGATTTTAATTTTCAACAAAAATTATCTTATTCATATAAAGATCTCCTGGCCTGGAATCCAACGCTCTGGAGGTAAGGTAGCGAGCGTCGGTGAATGACAGCACAAATTCCGTGGGGGTGTCCAGGAGGCAGGAAGCCTTGTGCCCCGAGATGACCTTGGAGAAGGCGTCACGGCCAAGTGCGGACCAACGTCAACTGCCCCGTCTGTGTGGGGATAGAGTGTTGCCCCCTCGCTTAGCAGTGCCTTTTCTCCGGGCGCTCCGGCTTCCTCCCACGTGTGTAAACATCGTTAATTGTCTGAAAACATCTGTATATATAGAGGACTGCATAGCTCGAGTAAATAGTTTGTAACTGTAGCACCGGCTCCTCACCTGCCTGGCTGTTGCCTCAGCTCCGGTTGGTGTTGTTTATCAAATTGTCCGTGCCATACAGTTCTCTGAAAAACAATTCTGACGTTGCTGTGAATTAATGTGAACACGTTCTCGCCTTACTTTCGTGTACTATCAGTGCAGCTGTGGCACTTAACCAGCCGCTCTTTTTTGTTACCGCAATTATACACACACACACTGCTCAGTTTAACACGTAGGCTTTCGCGACCAATATTATTCATAATAAAGGTTTTTTTGGGTTAGATCGCGTTATTTATAAATGTGTCGTAACCCTCCACCACCCGACACGGCCAATCAGCAAAAAAAGTGTCACGTTGACACTTTTTTTGCTGATTGGCCGTGTCGAATTGCCCGATGATGCTGGATGTATTTACCAGCGAAACGTCGTACTCAAACTGTAAATGTTGTGGATTCACTCTTCAACACACCGGTGGGCTAAAATAGTGAACTATTTGTCTTTTGTCAACGTGACACTTTTTTTGCTGATTGGCCGTGTCGGGTGGTGGAGGGTTACTACACATTTATAAATAACGCGATCTAACCCAAAAACCTTTATTATGAAAGATCCACCCCGTATCCTCCGCGCGAGCCCCATCTTAGTCGCTCCATCTCCGCAGTGGACATCCCCCCCCCCCATCCTTCCTTTGGCTGCCACTCTGTCGTTAGTCTCGACCCCCCCACTCCCCCCCCCCGACCCATCGTCCCTTCTACTTCTCGTGTCGGTATTACATCCAAGCTCGCCTCTCTCTCTATCTCTGTCACTCAAGTCTTCAGAGTGTAGTGGCTGGCTCAGAGACACTAAGAGTAGGAGGCACGCTGTTTATTAAACGGCCTTAACAGTTAACACTTGGTAACTACGGTTCCCAGTCAGGACAGCTGGTAGCCTGCCTGACTGACGACACTGAGATGGTGAAGACTCCAGCAGCACGACGGGGATCTCGCTCCACACGACAGCCCCGAGCTCCCCTCCCGGAGCCCCTCTTATACTGCCAGCGCGGCCTGGCTCCGCCCCCGGCCACGCCCCCTTTGCAGAACCGACCCCGGGTTCCTGGTGTGTCCCTCTAAAGCTGTCAGCGTGGCCTGGCTCCGCCCTCGGCCACGCCGCCCTTCTGGAACCTACTAGCGGGTTCTCGGCGTGCCCCTTTCGTGAACCTTTCCCCTGCATCCCTCTCTCTGGTCTATCACGTGACCTGCTGTCAGTCGGGGCTGCTGTAAGCTGCAGATCCCCCTTCCCTGCCAGCAGCTAGCGCTATGCTGCTACGTGACCGATTCTGTGTCACTGCAATAGTACGGCTTCTCTTGCTGTACTTTAGTGGTTCGTCTTAACCTGCGGTGCACGCACCCCCTGTGGGTGCGAGATGCCCTTTCTGGGGGTAGCGAGACACGGCCAGATTTATTTTCTACAAGGCAAATCATCGAAACACAAATTAAGCGCTGGCACGTGAGTTACAACTTACTCGTTTCAGCAAACCCCTGTGTATGAATTAACATTTAGAATTTTTTTTTTTTACGATTGAGAACCAAAGGGTTGCAAGGCTGCAGTAAAGGTTAAGAACCACTGCCTGTAGAGCAACAAGCTCTACAATTTTGCATAGAGGTGGTAGGATGAGCCAGATGGTTGCGTCAGGAGTTAGCGAAGTGCGGTGAATCGCCGCGATGACGCCTCCTTCCTGAACCCCCTTCCGTAGTTTGTGAATCGTGCATTGAGTCTTCGTTACGGTCCGGGTGGCTACGGTCGCCGCACACTGCCCACGGAGAGTTTTGTTTTTTTAATATTCCACGTGTGCCATCGTCACCGTCAAAACTATAACCGCGTATGCTGCTGCTACTGCTGCTGCCTTGGGTTTTTTTTATTTTTACGGATGTGGTCCAGGGTCGTGGCGTTAGAGAAACGCACTCGTTACATCGCACAAAGCGCTTGCCACGAATGAACCACGACATCATCGCGACAACTCCGCTCATCCTCGCAGAGGCTGCGGCTTTTGGCTGCGAACCGTCGAACCAAAAGGCGGCGGTGGTCGCCGCCGCCGCCGCCTCGTCGCGCGGCGCATTCGGACGCGCCGCTTCCGCGGCCGTCTGGAACGCTCTCCCCCCCCCCCCCCCCCCCCGATATTAGGAAGTCACTGGGAGCTGTGCACTTTTAAATCATCAGCTAGATTGAAAAGCCATTTTAACTGCTTTTTGTGTTTAGTTTGTTGGC